CAATAACAGGGAATGAGAGATCTTTAAACAAGATCCATGGCCAAGGGTGATGGTACAGGCAGTGGGAAGGAAAAGATGCAGGGAAGAGCTAAGGACTTGGCAAAGAGAGGAGTCAGCACTGTTTGTGCCACTTGGGGAGTGGAAATAGTCAAGAGAAGGGAGCAGCACCCCTGGGAGGATTGCTCTAAGCTCCAGAAGGAGCAATGGGGACTGGACATTCAGAGTGCAAGACATTCAGCACTGAGGGAAGGGCAGCCAAAGGGAAACAATCTTCTTGTTCTTTATGAAAGAAAGAATTGGTGGGGTTTCTTCTTTTTAAATATACCACCTCCAGAAGTTAGCTCCTGCTACTTTCTCTTAGGGAATAAAATTAAAAAACCCTCAGTCAATTCCAAGCCCTTCAAGCACACTCTGAGAATAGAATTATTGAGCTGTTTAAAACCAGAAGCAAGTTTTACCAAAATCTATTGCACACTGTTGCCTTGTTAGTGGCTCTGCAGGACAGTTGATTTTGGCTGTTTATAATCCTCCAGTCCAACTGGCACAGGGGTTTCAGCACCTGTCCAGGCTCCCCCACCAGGCATTCCCTGGCCATGCTGCTGCCAAAACACCCCACACAGCAAAGTAAACCAAATAAATCACAAAATGTCAGCAAGGGGATGCTGGCAACACAACCATCTAGCACAGGAATGGAACATCCTTCCTGGGCCTGTAAGAGTTTCTGGTCTGCACATTTCCATTTCCTCCCTGACAGACAAAAACACTTTGACTGGTCGGAGTGAAGCTGGTGCTTGGAGCATCTCTGCTGAGATACTGCAGAAGTTGGGTGCTTGAACTGAATGAACACTTAATTCTGTGCCCTGGATTTAGGAAAGGTCCCTGCCCTCTTACACCTCTACCTAAAAGCAGTTGCCTTTTTTGGGCTGAACCTGAAAGGGGCATCTGCATCCCCTGAGGGCTGGCACACACCTGGCTGTGACTCCAGCTTCCCCCAGGTTTGTTTCCATAACCATCCTTCGGGGTCAAGCAGGGACATTGTTTCAGCAAAGTTTCCTTTTCTTCTGGGGATTTATTATTGATGTTTCTATGGTTCCCATCTTCTCCCATTTGCACTGCAGTGTGCAAATTGAGGGAACTTTCCAATTGCAAACCCATAGCACGAAGGAACTATATATATAAAAACACACTTTGTTTTTATTTATTACATTTGTGTGGAGGGACAAATTCTCATTGTGCTATACAGTCCTCAAATCATCAGCACTTAAAACACACCAGTCAATAAACCTTTTTTAATTTAAAAGCAGAATGAATTTCTGCTGAAAAAAATTACTTGTACAGCTTTTTTTCCCCTATGGCAACATTAGTTTAAAAAAAATCAACTCCCACATTTGATTTCCTGTGAAGTCAGAAACAGATTTCAGCCTGTTGTGGTGTACACTAACAGATCCAGAATGGAGAAAATCAATACCTTTTGAATGGATTTGCCTGCAGCTGTGCTCACACCTTTATTTACTTCCTCCACAATTCTGGGTTTATTTACTTTGCTTGGATAAGCTGAAGCCTGGGCTTATTCTTCTAGGTGTGTATGTAAGAACTGTCCCTGCTGTTCATGCACGGTTGAGTCAATATAAGAGAAGGATTAAACAAGATGTTTTATTATGGGCACAACTGTGCACACACACGCTGGCATGGAGCATTTAACAAACCTGAAATGCATGTGAAACGCCTCTAAATGAGTGATTATTCAGATAGTCACATAGAGGGTGTCCACGCAGCGGAGGCAGATCTGAATAGCTACAGCACAATTACAGCCCTACCATTACTCTGGATAATTTCCTAGCAGACACGCCAGACTCCCCCAGCTCACAACACAGCCTCAGAGCCAGAGATCCATAAGCCAATTTACATGGAAAATTAGGAGGTGTCAGAAGAGGCAGAACTAGACAGGTCTCAAGGATATTAATTCCTGCTGCCGTAGCCTTGAGCTTTCAACATATCATTAATTTGGGATCGTTGATGTTCCGCTGTCGTCGGCGCGGTGAGAAGAGGGAACACTTCACTCATGCTGTGCTTGTGCTGGGTGAGGACAGAACCAGCTCCAGAACCAGCCTGCACGTGCAGGACAAAGCACTTCCAGCCAGGCACAGTGAGACTCTCAGTCCCACAGGGATCAACCCCAGCTCCCAGAGCTCACCCCAGCACCACAGACCCCAATGCAGCAGAAAGAGATGACAAAGGACACCAAGATACTTCCACTTCATTTCAAAGCTTAGCAGCACCATCCTCTTCCTCTTTTTACTTCCTCTCAGGTTCCCTGAGCAAGGCTGTTGGCACTCAGGGCTGGGATAACTTTGCTCTGGAGCACACCACCCTCCCTCCCTCCCAGCACTGTCAATCAGTTTGATGCAGAGTGGTGTGAAGCACACCCAGCACCACCCCAGTCTAGTTCACTGTCTTCACATTTATGATACATCTGCAAGCAATTTGCTCTGGGACAATGAAGTCCCAATTAATTTGCAGCTGGGTGCAGTTACACCAATAACAAAGTGGGTAAGGGATGCAAACTAGTGGTGCCTGCACAGAGCATATTAACCATCCTTTTAGGCAGAGCAGCACGCAGCAAGGAGCCCATGACTGCACCAGTGAGTCATTACAGAAGAGAATAGAGCTCCCTTTGGATGCTGTTATCAGTTGTTATCTCTTCCCAGAAGCTGGGGTTTCACACAAAGCCAGGGCAGCAAACACAGCTGCGAGGTGCTGGGGTTTGGTCACACTGCTTCCCACACCTCCAGCCCACAGCTGAAGTGTTCCCCAGCCTGGCTCTGGATGCCCTGCCAGTGGCACCCTCTGGGCATCCACAGCTCTTCCTCCCTGACTGGGAGGCAGCTCAGCTCCACAAGAAGGGCTGAGCAAGCTCACCTCAGTGCCAAGTGCCCCCACCCTGCCCAAGAAGCAGCCCCTGCACATTTGCTGGTTCAATACAGACACCTGGGGCTTGTTTTTTCCCTCTTTTCCCGAACAGCAAAGGCTGGCAGCCCAGAGGATCATTACACCTTATTGGTGTGTCAGACACAATTCCCATCCTGGATGCCCTGCTCTGGCCTTTTGGGCATGATTAGAGTATCAATCCATGACTTGTTCCAGTTAATGCTTGCAGTGTTGCAGACCCCAAGGACTCAGAAACATCAGCCTTGACAGCAGCTATAACCCAAGAACAGAAGCAGCATCCTTCCTCCTCCACAGCTCTCCCCAGGGCAGGAGCTCAGCCTTTCAGGGGCTACAAGGATAAACATCAGCAGGTTCCCAGCTCTCCAAATCCCTGGAGGGTGCCTGTGGGGTCTCTTCCATGCACCCACCACCCTACAACCACCAGGCATTTTGGGCTCTTTCCCTTGACTCTTGGTGCTGGTGTGAAGGGATTTTAACCCCCTGGCCATTTAGCTCTGCCATAACAGGTTCAGCACTGGTGGGGTATGTGCTGGGCATGACAAACCTCTCCCCTGGATCTCATATAATTTCCTCCACCTCGAGAGGGAAGCTGCCTCTGAAGAACAAGGCAGCAGCAGCTAAAAATCAAACCAGACAGCTGGACCAGGACTAGAACCACATGGGCAGGCACACTGGAGGCAGTGCAGCTCGAGTGCCTTCACACTGAATTCACACCCACCTTGTTAATAAGACCTTTTGAGACAGACCATGAAATTGCATTAAATTAAATACCAAGACAGACTATCACAGCAGAGGCTCTTCCTCCCAGGAGCCTGAATGCATTTTAACTCAAAATTAAGAGGACAGGTGAGGGGAAATGTTGTATTTTCCCATTAGCATTTTTCCACTTCTCAGAAGAAACAGCAAGCAACAGCTCCAGAAATTAATTTCTCTTGTGAGTTAAAGTGGGGGAGGAGAAGCAGCCTGGCAGTGCTGCTGCAGACAGTGGAGGAAGGAGATGGCCTCAGCAGCTATTTCCACCTTCCAGCTGAAATGAAGACCCTGCCCAGCTGTATCTCCTCAGCCAATTTTAACCTTGCAAGGCAACAAGCTCTGATCTCTCTGTAGAAACCCCAAGCACCAGCTTGCCAAACCAGCTGTCCCTGCAGCAGGGCACTTCATCCTCCCAAGTCTACACTTCAACCTGCAGCTTTTTCAAGGTCTTAAATGCACTTAAAGGCACAATTAAAGCTCAGCCTTTCATGTTCTTTATCCTTAAAGAGCTGCAAAACTGGAAAGTCCTTCACAGCTGAACAGGACCAGGTCATCCTGCATTAAAGATTGGGCAACATTTGTGTAGTGGTTAAAGCTAAACATTAATTAGCACATCTGAACCCAACCCAGGCCTGTCCCTAGTGTGCTGAGCAGCCCCACAAGAAGGATATTGTGAGACCTCTGTGGAAGGACACCCAAATGATTTAAAATTTCAAGTTCAGTTCAGCCCTCTCCCCCTGCTCCAGGTGGGGGGAACATTTCCCCACAGCCAGAAGCCTCAGGTGTGGGTCAGCAGCCACCCAGCCTTGCTCCTGGAGCAGTGCTGCTGCAGGGTCACTCTGGCAGCCTGCTGGCCCCTGCAGCCCACAGCTCCTCCCTCCACCCCTGGCTCACAGGGACAGAGGTATTTTTAGTGCAGCTGGTGTTTTCTAAACAAGAAATGGCACTTTCCCCCGATGTGCTGAGCAGGGCTGCAGAGCAGGGGGCTGCTGCCGTAAGCAGTGTGAGTGATGCAGAGTCCAAAGGGATGAATTAGGCAGAGCAGTGAGGCTTGGAGGAGCTTTAGCCTCCAGCTGGCAGAGCAATGCACAGCTTCAGGGCTGCCTTGTGCTGCTGGGGCCAGCCCAGCCCCATTGCTGCAGCCTCCAGAGGGGACCCTGCCCTGGCTGCTCACAACATGCAGATCGAGCTGGAGACTCTCACTTCTGCCTAGGGAGAACTCAAGTGGCAAAAAGCAAACCCAAGAAGTTTTGACTGAGGAAAAAGCCAGCAGTGCTCTTTCCAGCAGCTGTGCAGTGGCTCGTGACCCTGTGGGGGTCACAGTGGCTCTGTCACCATGGAGGGGTGACTGTCCAGCACGTCACTGACAGCGAGGTGGGACGGGGTTCTGGAGGTCTTCCCTCCCTGGCACTGTGATAGACAAATTGTTCCCAGGCTGGCAGGCAAAATTATCCACTTTTCCAAGCACACTGGAGGATGAAGGCAGTGACAGACTGCCAGCACTGGGTAACAGGATCCCTTATCCTATTAGGCTACATCCTAGGGAAATAACAGCACTGTTTCACTTGGACTGGATGAAGGGAAAATGGGCTCATCCAAAGCAAAGACTCCTGAGCTCACTTTGCAAGATTTAATTCACTATATTGCCCTCCAGAAACTGATACCAACTAAACCCTGTCAGTCACACAGTAAACAATTCCAGCTTTGTAGGTGGACCAAGAGCAGTTTTGTGAGCAGATGACACGTGAGATGGAGAATGTTTTAGTTATTTTTGCTAAGTGCAAGATATCATTTGGCTTCCAGGCCAAAAGCATTTTTATTTCAAAAGGCAGATAAGCAGTTTCCAGAGTTCATTACTCTCACAAGCTCTTCTTTCAGGAAACGTAGCCCATTCAAGATGGAAAAGAAATTCCTTGTATGAGACAGGGAGAAGCCATTCAAGGGTCTGCTCACTTTAAACTGAGGCACTTCAGAAGGCAGAAACCACTTCCAGAGCACCTCAACATCTCTGTAAATTGGGGAACTTACATTTTAAGGATACTTAATGGTCTGCAGGAGCTAAATAGCTTGTTCACATCCAACCTGAGCGACTTATTCCACTTCTGCAACAGAATCATTCCACTTTCTGCGAGGAAAAAAAAAAAATCAGCCTTCACTCACACACAACAAAGCAAGTTCCCCAAACCTTGTCCCACCACACCAGGATTCAGAGTCCCTTTCCCCCAGGGAGCCATGTCCCCAGCACAGAGCAGGAGCTTTGGGCTCACATGGGCTCACAGTCATCCTTGCTCAGGTCACAGCAGCTCAGCTGGCTCAGGAAAACCCTGCTGAGCCATGGATAACACTGGGACCCAGCCCAGCTGTGATGGGAGCTGGGCAGGCTGAGCTCCAGGGTCTTCTGCTTGGAATTAAATCTGCTCTTCCAGCAAAGTTACAGGCAAAGCTTGTGATTTACACAAGTGTAAGAGAAGGGATCAGACTGAATGAGGCAGCAGACAGAGAGATGCCACTGCCACCTTCCCCTCCCAGGAATCCAAGGAGCCTCTCCCATGCCTCTAGGAGGGGAGCAGCTTCTTGGGTTTGGATCCTGGCCCCTCCAGAGCTGTCAGGGCTCCCACAGAGTCAGGAAAAGAGTCATTGTCCTGGCAGGCAGATTTGCAATAACATGGACCCACAGCTCAGCAGCTCCCCTGAGCACAGGCTGGAACAAACATCACTGGCAGGAGCCACACAATACCTCCCCAACCTTCAAAAAAACCCAAACTAATCAGCAAATCTCTCTGCTTTAATCATGTGCACCGGAGGCACAGAGGTGTCTCATTAAAAGTGACCTATCTGCCCTGGAAAATACATCTCATCCCCTTCAGCACGGGAGGCACAGGGACAGGGTGACACAAAAGGAGGAGGGAAGGGTTCCCTGCTTTGTTCCTGCCCAGCACTGAGGCTTCCACTCCATTACAGGAGACCTCAACCTCATCTGCACACAGGCAAACCTCAAAGAGAACAAAGTATTCAAATGGACCAGGTTTTATTTCCAAAGAGGAGATGAATTCCTATTTGTTTTCAGGATTGCAATTTTCTCCCCACGCTGCAGAGGATGTGAACAAATGAGCAGGGAATGAAAAGGATTAATGAATGGATGGGTGGGAGCTGGCTCCCAGCTGCAGGGAGAAGGGGGGCACACACACACTGGGACTGCCAGGGGCAGAGAACCAGCATGGCCAGCAGCACACACATCCCTGGGACCCCCTGCTCAAATGTGGACAGATCAACAATCATCTCTGAAAGGATTCACTTAAGGGAAAATCAAGCAAAAGGAAAGGCAGGAAGGGTTTAAAGTCTAGATCAATCACACGTGTCATTGGAAGGGCTGTTTTTACAGAAACACTGAACTTCCAGCTGCTGACACCACTCAGTTCCCAGCTTTTGTCCTCTTTAAATGATGGACCCACCCACATGACAGTAGCTTCCTCCCCAAGTTTTAAAAGATTCAGAAAACCAAAAAGGCATTTGGTGTTCACTGAGGAATTGATACCAAGCATTGCTCATTTGAGACCTATTGACTCTCCCAGCTGGATCAGAGAGATGCAGCCCTGTGGAAACTGCAAAACAAGGAAAAATTAAATCTTCTTTCTCCCTTATTCTCAAGATATTTAAGTCAAGTCCAGCATCAGGGGATTAGAGGCAAAGTTTGGGATTAGGATTAGGTTCATGAGCTGCTCTGCCTCACATGGCAAGTTGGTTTCTGGTGCTGATGGCTCCCAGTAAATTGAATGAACTCACCCTTTGCTCTCAGTGCTCCAAGATTAATTTTTGCTTTGGCTTCCCAGTGTTTGGGGATGATGGGACACAGGAAAGCCACATTAAAGCCACCATAGTTTGTTTTGGTGGGAGAAGTGACACTGCCTTCTAAATCCAAAGACCTGGCATTTACCCATCGTGCTACTATAATGTATGGCTTAATTTAAAGGCAAGCTCAATTTGCAGATTAATTATTATAGCCTGTGACTGGTTGAGCTTGTAATAAATCACCTGGGTGAGAAATTGCACAGCAATTAACTGATTGTACATTGAGCATGTAAATGTTGGTAAAGAGGTGTCACCTAATGGAGACTGATGCTGGGGAACTGCAGGCTGCAGCCAGCAGAAGAAAGTCACAGTGCAAAGCAGGTCAGGGGAGTGGGTGGCAAACAAAACCAGAGGCCAAAACACTTAAAAACATTCAAATCAGCCTTCAGGAACAGCATGCTAAACCAACAGAAGATTTTCAGGGAGCAGGAAATGATAGTGGAAGCTGCTGGGGTTTCTTGCAGGTGGTGCTGGGACAGGGGGCACTGGTCAGGACAGCCCAGCCCCTGGGTGAGGATCAGCAGGGACAGAGCTCGAGGTGACTGACCTTCAAACCACAGGGAGGCTGCAGCAGATGGAGCTCTCTGGCTGCCACAAGCCTGCATTTCAGAAGCATCACTTCTCACCCTGTCCTGCCAAGCATTCCCTGCTGGCAGCCCCTGCCTTGCAGCCTCCTTGGGATGCAGCAGATCTCAGTGACCTGCTGATGCCAGGCCTGGGGCAGGGGGAGGGCCCCTGGGACCTTGGGGCACACCAGCACTGGTTCCCCAGCTGTGTCCCACCCCTGGCCAGGGAGCAGCTGGGCTCTCTGACGAGCACTGACACACAGAGCCCCTCTCACCCCCACCAGGGGAGCTCTGAGCCAGCCTCCTGCCACCACAGTGGCTGCCCCAGGTGCCTCCTTTCTGACAGAGGCAGAACAGTATCAGGCGAGTTTCTGACCTCAGAGTAATTCTCACAAACCCATGGAGAAATTCCCCTTGGCTTTTGGAAGCTTCACTGCCCAGCAGTGCCAGGCTTTGGTTGTTTGGGAGCCTCCCTTCAGAGGAACCAGATTTTTCAGCTTTAATAATTAAAGTCCAAAGCTATGGGGCACCCAAGGCTAGAAATGGTTTAGAATAGCAAGCCCAAGTGTGTTATCTTTCCTGAGACAGGACAAATGGGAAACAGGCAAGTTTAGAAGTTCTCTCTCCACTGCAGAAGGGCTCAAACCTTGGAGAGCAGTTTGTCACCCTCAGGGCCCACCTGTGGGATGTCCCCCTCCACAGCACCAGCAATCCCACCCCAGGACACTCTTCCTTGGAGCTCCAGGACCCCCTGTCAGCTCAGCAGCAGCACTGCTGGGACAGGCAGTGCAAGAGGCAGAGCTCCTCACCTCCTTGGGCATGATCCCAGATGGGCTGGTGAAAGGTGGCACCATCCTGCAGAGCTGGGGGAAGCTGAGAGACAGCAGAGCACCTCAGCCCATCAGTGTTAACAGCTCTCTCAGACTCCCAGGTGAGATTCAATTTGCCAAAGGATCTGGGATTTATTACCATGCAAACACTGCTGGATGGAATCTGAACACTTACAGCACCATCAACACTCATCCAGAGCTCGAGTCAAGACAAGTGGCCAAACCAGGCTGCAGTCTGCATCCAGGGCCAGGACCCTGATTAGAGCCAGCAGATGTGGAGCCTTCCCTAACTCACAGCCCCTCCTTCCCTGCCAGCTGCCCACAGAGTTGCTCAGCAACACGAGGGCTGGCACTGCCAATTTATCCACAGTGAGCCTTCCTGCTCCCAGGAGGAGATGCTCTTCCCTGACACTGTGCTCCCTGTGCTCTCAGCCATGGAGAGCTGCCAGGGAAGACCAGGAGCCTGTGGCACCCCAAAGTAAGGGAGGGATCCCCCACAGGGCTGTTCCCTGCCTGCATGGGATGCACCAAGGAAAAGCAGCACGTTTGCCTGGCACAGGAGCCTGCAGCCCCCGTGTACACATCCCAGCCCAGCAAGCAGGGCCCTGGCAGCAAGCCTGGCTTGTCTGAAGTTGCAGTAGGTTAGGTCCATCACTCTCCACCGTTTCCCAGTGGATTCCTGTCCTGAGGCAGGTGCTGAAGGCAGAGGAAGCACAGAGCTGCAGCTGCCTTTGACAACACGTTCAGAGGCACATCAGGATCACCAGGATCCTTCTTCAGGATGAAAACAGGCCAACATTAAAGTCCTGCAGCCAGTGCAGCCCACAACTGCAGGGTTTCCATCACATTCTTTCCCTTTAACTCCCAAATGCAGCTTTCTGGCAGCAGCAGGTCTCTGATGCACTGGACACTCCTGGAAAAGGATTTGTTGTGTACATGGTCTCTCCACCAGAGAATCAGGATTTGTCCAAAACCCCACAGCAGCCCCTGACAGCATCCAGGGGTCACAACCCAAAGGGCCCTATCCCAGCAAACCAGCAAGAACCCCAAACACAGCCCTGCCTACAAAAACCAAAAAGGAAATTTGGAAAGCTCAAATTCATATTTATGCTTCTTGATTATCTGCATTATCAGGAATTTAGCAATGCCAGGGGGCAGAGACAAACTGTTCCTCCAGTCCCAGAAAACCCCACAACCCACAGCTGGAAGGACTGAAGGCAGAATGAAAAAAAGTTCATTCCTCACTCAGAAGGAAAACTTTCCTGAGGAATGAAAAGATGACAAAATCTGCTTTGCTGTGGCAGAGCTTCCAGGGAAATGGGGCCAATTACAAAACCTGCTTGGGATTTAGCAGGCAGCTGCTGGGAAACGTGTTGGTTTGTCTGGAGGAAGAGAAATTAGGTTGGAGAATTATTAGCAGTGAAAGAGAGGAGCTTTCCATGCTCCACGCCCGAAGTCAATGTGAGTGTCTGTGGCACTTAATCCTTATCAACATCAGGTTGCACAGCTGGATCTGCAGGCCCATCACCCTGGGGACCACAGAAACTGCCCAGGGTTCCAGCCAGGCTCTCCATCCTGCTGTGGGGAGTTTCAGCCTCACCCTGCAACCCTGGAGCCTCTGGCTCTTCCCCCGTGACTCTGTGTGAGGTTTCTTGCTCTTTAACACCACCTGCAGTGGGAGGCTATGTTCAGATTTTCAGTTTTACACAAGTAGGATCAAGACAGTCCCCCATGCTGTGCAGAGGAGCAGATCAGCAGCACCAGGACCCAGCAACACTCAAAGCTGAGCACAGGGTGAGGTCCCAGAGCTGCAATCCTGCTCCTGGGCCTCCAGCACCTCTTGGAGACATCTCCATTCTCCCCCAAGAATTATTCACCCTTTGGGCTGACACATCCAGTTTATTGAGCTGGTTACTTTGCTGCCAGATGGTCTGCACACCACAAAAACCAATTGCATCTTTGGGGTCCCTGAGCAGCAGGGGCACCTCTGGAAGGGTCTGGGCCTTCATTAGTCTCCAGACAATTTTCCACGCACCACAGAAGGGAGAGGTTTCATTAATTACAAGGAGAGCCATTCCCCAAGCAAGGCAGCAGCTAACAAAGGAAATTACTCACTGGCCTCCCAACAGTTACAACTTAATTAAAGCAGGATCCTTCCTCAAAGGCACCATCAGATTTCTGGAGCCTTGCTGGAGCTGAAAGAGGAACCAAGCAGCCTTCAGCCCCAGGGCTGCAATTGCAAGTGGAATTTCCAATGCCAGAGAAAGGCACTCTGTTTTCTTGCAAATGGATCTCATCAAGAGCAAAGCTTCCCTGGAGGTTTTCCATCCCAGAGTGGTGCTGCACCGTCCCATTCCACTCCTATGCACAGGGCTCAGATCTGGTGTCTCCCCAGCAGCAGGGCAAGCAGCATTGCAGGTGGACTCTTCCACACTCCTGTATCATCCCTGGAATCCCTGGTACCTCCTTGCAGCAGGAGAGCTGCTTGACCCACAAAACTTTCATCTCCAGTCCATAAAGAAAAGACAAAAACTTACATTACCAGGTGTTCTAAGCCTGGTGCTCCATTTCTCTCTACACCACTAGGCAGATCCACCAGCAGCTTTTCCATCTGCAGATACAGAATTTAAATGGAATTATACCAGCAGCAGGGATCACGCTGTTCCTGTTCTATAGCCATGCTTTGGAAACGGATGCAGATTTATTTAATATCAAATTCTGACTTTGCTCAGATCTGTCAGCACAGCTCCCTTGGCTTCAGCATAGCTGAGGTGCTGGGTGCAACTGAAAGCAAGACCCAGCACTCTGGAGTTATTAACAGTGCATGAATAATCTGGATACAATGCCCCTCTAATGCCAACAGCAGAATTCAAAGTGCAAACACAGAGCCAGCAGAAGCAATTTCTCTGCTCTCATATGAGCACAGGCTGCTTTCCACCCACACCTCCAGCAAGCTCAGGAGCACCAGGTCTGCCTCTGGCCCTCTGAACACGCTCTGGATGCCAGTTTGTGGATGCTGAGACCAAGGCAGGGCCATCATCCCACTTCCCTGCACAGCTGCTTTGTCACAGCCAGGACAAAGATGTTGGCCAGATGCCCAAAACCCCAGAATCTGGATCCTGCAGCCTCACAGTGCTGAAAACAGAGCCCACTGCCCTCATTCCATGGTGGGAAACACCTCCCTTCCCACCTGGCAGCTCCCATGCCTGTCTTTTTCAGCCAGGTGAGGTGCTTGGTTTAGTCGATATGCAGGACAAGTCTGGCCAATTCATGCCATCCCACCAGGAGACAGAATTTCCCCCTTTGGGGTGGAAGTCATTAGCAGATTGCACAGTATTTCTAGCTGCAATTGGTCTGATTTTATCCTTCAGACAAGCTCTCATTGTGCCTTTTTTTTGTACGATTAAAGTGCTCTTTGTTATCTGGCAAAGTGCTTAAGTGTAATTAAGTCACCCAGTCCTCCATTTGATAAGCACTAAGCCGACTGAGTTCTTGCATTCCTTCCCTCCACATGCCTTCCAAGCTTTCAGTATCCTTTTAAAAACCCCTGATACCAAAGTTGTAGCAGCCACTTTAGCATTTCTGGCCCAAAGAGGGGAACAGATCAGCTCCCTGCCCTTGCCTCCCACCCTGACACCAACCCTCCTTCCCACCCTGCAGCAAAAGCAGGGAGGCTTTCCCCATCCTCCCCCTTGGAGGCTCCTGCATTTCACCCACTCTGGCACTATCAGCCAGGGCAGGGATCCTGTTACAGCTCTGCACACTGATAACAGAAGGGTTTCTGTATCAGCCTTACCTCTGGATGTGGAGGTGTAGCCAGAGGGTTTAACCTTGCCTCTTCCCACCCCAAATCCTGCCGGGCTGGTGGGATCATTGCTCACACACACTGCAGATCAATTCCAGCTGGACTCCATCCTCATGCTGTCCCCTGCATGCAGGGCAGCTTGCTGCCAGGTGTTTCAGCATAAATTCCATCTCCTTTCAGGAGTCTACCAAGGAAAAATAAAAAAAGTCACTCCAGTTGCATTAGGATAAAGTTATACCTGGCTCAAGCTGACACTGTGCAGCCATTTCTGCTGGAGCAGCTTCTTGATTAAATCTACCCATTCCTACAGCTCCTGACAGCTCCCAGCAATGCCTGAAAAAGGAAAATGAGGTTTTCAGGAGAAAGGAGCAGGGCTGTTCACTTCAGTGGCTTCACCCTCACTTTTCCAAGTTGTTCAGTGTTACACACAAAGATTGCATCCCAGCCTGTCCCCCAAGCTCAGGCTGAGCACACCTTTTAAAACCTCACAGATGGACACTGAGAGATTCCTGACACCAGTTCTCTGTGCTCCCAACTGAAATAAACTAAATAAAAGCGTTAATTTAGCTGCACATCAATGAGAGCTGCTCTGGTACCACATGTGAGGCACAGCTCAGGTGTGCAGGGGTCTGCAATGAGAGGCACAGCCCTTGCACCCAAGTGCTCTTGTGAAGCTCAGTGCCCCCAGGATGACCAACAGCAGCACTGTCAGGACATAAACTACTCCCCAAAACAGCCAGGAGCTCCACCAACTTCTCTGAGGCAAGCACAGGCAGTAGGGCCCAGCATAGATGCAGGTTTTTAAATTAGTTCAATTTTTAGCCACAAATTTATGGGAGAAGAGGGGGAAAGCAGTTTGGTTATTGGGAAAGATTTATGGGACAGTCCCTGCACATGTGGCAGGAGCTGCCACATGCAATATTCATCCAAATGCCCCAAGGCTGCTGCACACACAGACTGGACTCCATACCTCCCCCAAGTGCTCCATGGAACACATCAGCTCCCAGTGTGCTTTCAGAGGACTTAAAAAAATACCTTTGCTGTGTCAGGTGAAAATTACTCTATCCTGCAGCATAAAGCCTTGTTGAAAAGCAAAAAGCAGACAACTGCCTTTACAATCTGCACCCAGAGCCACACGTGACTGGCAAAAAGATAACAGCCCTCAGGCACTGAGTGGTTTTCAATTTACACAGCTCTTCCAGTGCAGAAATGCACCACTCCTGCAAACCTGCCTTTTTACTCCAGATGGAATCCAATCACACAAAATACCATGTAGACATTTGAGAGAAAATTCTCAGGTTGTAAATTTGAAGCAAAAGGGAGTTAGAGCCACAAAATGGCCTTGGTGTAGGCTCTGAAAGTTGTGTACAGCTTCAAATGCAAGAAGCAGCACTTGGCTGGGAAATGTCCAGTCAAGGCCAGCTCTGTGCAGGGGTCAGAGCCTTTAACATCTATTTAATGGCCCCAAAGACAGGGCACTCTGCAGGATCCCAGTGGGACACTTGGGATCAAAGACCATCATATCAACCCCACCAGGCTCCCAGCTTGACTCCCGAAGCCACACACCCAGGAGGGAGGGAGACCAAAGAGGATATTAAGGGGGCTGCAAGTGTCATAGAGTGGCAAACCTTTGCCCAGCATTGGAGAGCTGCTGTGGAGTCAAAGCTGGTGGAGAAAGAGCAGGATCAGACAAAGGAGTGGAGTCAGCAATCATCACATGAAGCCTCCTCCCACCTTCCTCCTCAGATCAGGGCATGCCAGCTCCTCCAGCCCACCCTACAAGTGCTGCCAGGGGCCAGATTTCAAGCAGCAGCCCAGTTTTCAAATAGCACAATCACAGCCAGCCTTACTTCCCACCCCTCAGTGCCTGTTTCACACCAGCTGCCAGCTGGAGACTCATCCCTTCCCACTCCCTCCAATAACTCTGCTGGCAGCTTGCTTCCCATAAGAAAAGGAAGCAAGCAACATCCTCTTTAGCCTTGTGTACCAAGAGCAAATCAACCTGCTCTGGTGCTGCAACTGCAGCTGTCTCAACCTGTCACAGAGCTGTAGATGGCACTCGGTGTTCACAAGGCTGATTTGTTTGTTGGAGCTGTTAAAACACCATCATTATTCTGAAGTCTTGCTGTAGCACTTGAACTCAAGAGCTTAGAGAGGTACATGCCAGCATTACAAATAAACTAAGCAGAGACCTTTGAAACACAGACACAGAAGAGTTCAGTGGTCCTGGGACTGCTGGTGCAGACACTGAACAGCTCCTCACCCTTTCTGAGCACCCCATCACCTCCTGCTCCACATCTCCTCCTGCTTATGGACTCAGCCACACAAGGAACTGTTCATTCCATTTGGTGAATTGCTCATTCCATTTGGTGAATTGCTCATTCCATTTTGTTTAAAGCCTGGCTGCACAGAACAGGTAAGGAATAGCCTGAAGCTTCACAAGCTAATGAGACTCTGCAGAGCAGATCCTTAATCTCCCAATTCCTTGCCTTAAACAATATATCCTCCCTCTCAGTCTCCAGCACAAGCCAAAGGCACCCTGGGCGTCCTGACTCAGCCACTTGTCTCCCACCTGAAGGCATTTCCCTGCCAGGCATCTCCTTTCATGGAACACTCAGCAAGAAGCAGCAGGATTTTGAATGCTTCTCCAGACCAAAGCCAGGGAAGACATTTCCAACTACCTGGTGAGCACAAACACATTGCAGAAGTTATGAAACTCGAGCAAGGAGCATAATCTGTAGCCTCAAACTCTGCACAGTGAGGCTCCTTCACCCCAGGCAGGCACTCCACTGTCAGTCTGTCCAGCTGAACCATGAGCAGGGTGCCAAGGCAAACTGGGGAAATGAGGAAAGCTTCAGCCATTGTCTCCAGACAGAAATAATTCAGCATTTCTCCCAAACCAGCCCAGCCCATCACTGAGGTAAGAAAGGCTCCTGACCATTTCAATCAATCTTGCTGCACTCGGCCCATGGTTCCTTGGATTTTCACATACAATTAGCAAAGTGCAGTTTCCAGTCAGTGATTGTAAATAAATCCTTGCCCAGCCCATCACTGAGGTAAGAAAGGCTCCTGACCATTTCAATCAATCTTGCTGCACTCCTTGGTTTTTCACGTACAATTAACAAAGTGCAATTTCCAGTAAGTGATTGCAAATAAATCCTTAAGTGCCTGACAGACAGCAGCTCCAGAAAGTCACACAGTGGCATTTGAAAGCCCAGATTCAGATCAGTACTGGGGTTTCCAGTAGCTGATTGTGCACCACAGCTTTGCATTACAACACTAACTCTGTTTTCCTGCCACCAAGCAGAGCCCCAAGTATGGTCCTGCAGTATGGAGAGTCACACAAAGGCAGTTTCTACCACAAATTTAGAAGACAGGGTGAAATTTAAGCTCTTTCCATTTCTCAGCCATCAGGAGGCAGTGGTAGCTGTCAGCAAACCAGAGCACATAGTGGTTATGGAGAGGTATTAACTGCTTAATCCCCAAAGTCCTGTTCTCAAAGACATGTTTGTTTGTTTTTTTTCTTAAAAACCTCCTGTCTTCCAAGCCCAGCCCTGATCAGTGACAACAGAGGTTTAGCCCAGAAACCCTCCTCAGTAATCTCCTGTTTGGACAAAAGTCTTTTTCCATTGCCCTGCCCAAACTCCCAGCTGTGACATGCTGTGGGAATGATCACAAGCATCCTAAAGCAATAAGGAATTTGCCAAAAGACTCCCAGGTGAGGCTAGAAAAGAGCCAGATCCCACACCTCCCAGACAAGCTGTAACACCTGACACCATTACCTGCTTTGCATCCAAACCCAAATACTTCGGTGTATGCTCAAGGTCTGCCAAATCCTGCTGGGACAGACTGCCAAACCACCCCTTCTCATGGTCTCCTGTAAGAAGTTAAAGTTGTCTAAATGATGCTCTGGAAGCTCAGAACTGAGATGTTTCCACTAGAATATAATCAAGTATAATGAAAAACGTATATATCTGACAACTGATTGCTGAACTACAGCTAATCCATGATTACAGCTTTGTTGGGCAGTCATGATGTGGGCTTAGCTCAGAGCAACTGTGAGAACACCACAGGTATTGCAACACACACAAGAATTGAAGCACTTGACAGTTTTAGGGAGCTTCATAGAATCATTTAATGGTTTGGGAAGGACCTTAAAGCTCATCCCTTTCCAGACCCCTGCCTTCAGCAGGGACACCTTCCACTAGACCAGGCTGCTCAAAGCCCCCTCCAACTTGGTTTTCAACATTTGTAACATTCTTTTCTGTCCCAAGTCACACAAAGCATCTGCACACAAATCCTCCTGGTATCAGAGCAAACTCCATGGGTTGCAATGAAGGCAAGAGGATGGGCAAGGTTATCCATCCCAGACACTGTTTTCCAAGTGTTACCACTTGTAAAGTCTGAGGCACAGCTGGTTTTTGCAAAATTACTAAAATATTTCCAAACACCCTGCCAGGAACTGCAGGAGTTGTTAACACAGGGATTAAAGCAGGTAGCTGTACCTGGCAGAGCTGCTCTGCTCCAGCACAGAGCATGCAATTCCCACCTGGCTGTGCTACATGAAACTAGAAAAACAATACTAAGGCCAAACCTCCTCCTGTTTCTTCAAAAAACACTGACTCTATTCACATCAAGTTCATCCAGGAGTTAACCACAACGAACTTGTGAGTACAGGGACTGCACAAACACAACTTCAGCACAACAGAAAATGACTGGAAGGACTCAAACCCATCCTCACACAGCACAGCTCTGCTCTGCTCCCCCCTGGAGAAGGGTCAGAAGCAGGAGGGAGAACCAGGGACAGGATGTCCTGTTCAGAAAAGGCACCCAGTTCTGCTTTTCTTAGACTTAATATTAACATTTTTAATATTTTTAAATGTTAATATTTTAATATTAACATTTTTCCCAATCAGAAAATAAACCCCACCACAGCAAAGTGGGCGAATGCACCACACTCACCTGCTCCAAAACCCACATGCTCTGCTCTGGTTTATTCAGTGTGGGTCTCCTCAGGCAAATCAAGCCCCTTCTCCCTTGGGATGATGGCAGTGTCCCACAGGGGAGTCAGGAGCAGCCCTGGCCTCCACCATCAGCTTCCTCCATGGCTTCCCCAGCCAGCCAGGGCTGGAGCCTGCTCTGCTCCCTGGTGCCACACACCCACAGTCCTCCTGTGACACTCACAGTGCCACATCCATCATTATCTGAGCTCCCAGGACCCCCCGAGCAAACCATGCACTCACAGGGCCAGGTCTCACCACTGCCCAGCTCAGTGACCCTTGCTTCAGCTTCTTTCCACAGCAAGAACCCAGGACAGTCATGCTCCACTCAAAATACATTCAGGTTCCACCCCAAACAAAGGTGAAAAGACCCCAAATTTAAGGAAAGACACCCATTAAAAACCCCACCACAAGCAGCACAGTTCTAATTTCAAAGCAGCTGGACAAAAACCTAATACTAAAAACCCTAACTCAAACCCAGAATATATAAAGGGGAAAAAGAGCATCAGCTCACCCTCCATTTGTGAGTGGAGAATAGGAAGTGCAGCCCCCAGGACCACCCACACTCAGAATTAGGGCTGATAAGAGGATTGAGCTGGGGAGAACACGAGTCCCATCCCACCAAGGCTCTGCTGGTGTCCCTGAGAGGAACAGGACGTTCCCCCCACCCCACATGACAGCTAAAATCCCAGCACTGAAAAGAAACATGAACTGAGATTAGTCTTGACATTTCTGGGTCTTGTAATCACAGTGGGTGACAAAAGCAAATTCTGGATCAGAGCTTTTCCCTGAGCAATTTAAACATGGCTGTTTTGAGAAGACTGAGCTAAACAAAGGGGGTGACAGCCCAAAAGCTGAAAGCCACGGGATGTGGGGTCCTGGGATTATCTGATAATCAGGCAGTCCAAGCAGTCTCCAAACCACATGTGCTTTTTGGAAATCAGGGTGGAAAAGCACTGCACAGCCTTCTGCCCCATCTGGGGGTTCTTGTGCCCATGGAGAGCCACTGCTGGCCAAAATCACTTGACCCCCTCACAAGGTGAAGGCTCAATTCAGGAGGAGGAAATAATGAGGCAGGAAGCGAAAATTAAATCATTTCAGTGGAAAATGGAAGGGAATGGTTTTTACATTAATCTCCCTTTGCTGGCATCTTGTCAAAGGGCTTTTATTGGGAAACCACAGTTGGACCCAGGGACTCTGGTGGGGAGAAAAGCTGTGTTTTTCCTACTTGAGCCTCAGTGCCTCCTGTGAGATATCCCACAGCAACAGGAGATGGGTTTGAGGTGAAACCTGAACTTTTGGTGCCTTTCCCCACCAGCCCAGTCCATGGCAGCCAGTCCAGCCCCGCTGGCAGAGGTGAGGCCCCACTGCACGGCTGCACTCTCCAGGCAGTCAGAGGCACCAGGCTGGAGCCTGAGCCAGGAGAAACAGTGACACCGCCAAAGGGACAATCCTGCCCCAGTGGGCAGGACACAGCCTCTTCCAGACTGGCCTGGCTGCTCCCACGAGGTTCTGACAGCCCCATGGCAGGGCACAGCCTGGCAGTGATGCTGGGGAAACGTGCTGAAGGGTTTATCGAGCTGATAACATCTTTAAGAATTTGCGAGAATTTAAAAATTATTATAATTACGAAGAATTTATTATTTCGGAAAGTATTTTCCTTTGGGGAAATGTATTTAAGAAAGGGCAAAATGCAGTGAGGAGAGAGAGGGAAAACATGATAGAAAGTCCTGTGAGCAGCATGACTGGGGG